TAGTTAGGCTATATGTATGACAGCTAGTGTAGAACCCTTAGCATAGCACTAACGCTTCGGGCGGACTACTTAAATAGACAACCAAAAGTTGTACGTGTGACTAGTTGTACTCTCATTATACTGATGTAATATGTAAGCCAGTCTTCGGACAGACCACCCGTTTGAACTAATAAAGTGCCAGGGGCCTAAGTGGTCACCTCAATATTAAAAAAAAAAAATAATAATAAATAAATTACACTACAAGGAAGCAGAAATATGGACAGTTTGATTTTTATATGAAAACATGTCAAAATGTTACTCCCTAGAATTGAAAATCATATTCCTAGAACCAGGTCAGGATATGTCTTCCCAAAAAACCAGGTCAGAGTATTACTCCCCAGAACTAGATACGAACACAACTTCCAGAACCAGGTTAGGACATGTCTCCCCAGAAATCTGCAAAAATCAGACTAACTTCACAGCAGAATTCAACTATTCTTCTTTAGTTACATGAAGAAAAGTATATAATCACTCCTTTTCCAAAATGATAGATTTTTATAAACATAAAGAGCTGTGTCATATCTCTGTATTAAAGAAATTTTCTAAAGATAAAAAACAAAAAATTACACTACAAGGAAGTAGAAATACGGACGGTTTGATCTTTACCGTATTTTTACGAAATAACGCGCAGGGGTGAAATTACAAATTTCAGCCTAAATTAAGCTTAATTCAGGCCAAATCTCAAAATAACGCCCATGCCTGTTATTTCGCGAAAATACGGTAATATGAAAACAGGTCAGGATATTACTCCCCAGAATTGAAAATCGTATTTCTAGAACCAGATTAGGATACGTCTCCCCAGAGAACCAGGTCAAGGTATTACTCCCCAGAACTAGATGCGAACACAACCTCCGGAACCAGATCAGGACATGTCTTCCCAGAAATCTACAAAGATTAGACTGACTTCACAGCAGAATTTAATCATTCTTCTTTAGTTATATAAAGAAAGATACATAATCACTCCTTTTCTGGAATGATAGACCTTCATAAACATAAAGAGCTGTGTTATATCTCAGTATTAAAAAAATTTATAAAGGTAGAAAATAAAAAAATCCTAATTTCTATGACAGAAAGATATAATTCTAATTTCTACAAAAAAGGAGTCATAATCCTAATTTCTAAAACAAAAAATCATAATCCTAGTGATTACCAGGTCCTTTAACTAAAGGAAGATAGTAACTCACCAGAAGCCCTTCTAAAATTTCTTTGGCTTTGGTTTTTTGTTCATCGAAACTGTTAGCTTTATACCAGGGGAGTTGCTCCTTAAGAGTTTTTATGACAAGGCCTTTATTTTTTGGACAATTACGAACTGGCCACGTTTTTTGATATTCGAGCGTGTCCTATTGAGTAGTAGATGTAATAATCCAATATTCAAAATTAATATCAGAAACCATCTATGAATTAATATCAAAAACCATCTTTGTAAAAACGCGTGAGCATAGCAGAAGTTTCATTGGCAACGATCTTTTTTTTATATAGTCAATTGTAATTTTTTAAAGTACTTTTAATAGTAAAAATCATCGTGTTATATGAAACTTTTTTTTTGTAATATAAAATGTAACAACCAACTTGAGTCGTTGGTAGTTTACCTTTAAACTTATTGTTTTTTACCTGAGATGCAATAAGATGCAATAGTTCCAAAAACTAGATGAAAAGTAAATATTTTGAAAGGTTAGAAGATAGTCCGGCGGTCTAAACAATTGGTGAGTGGAAATTGAAAGATTCGCTTTAACTACATCAGCAAATTATATAAACGTAATCTTACGTAAGATATTACGGCCCATAATATTGCGCAAGAATTACGGTCT